ACAAATGCTATTTTTTTAAAACACAATATAAAAGAGCTCAGATCAGAGTAAAGCCAGTTCTCACCCTATGAAAAGCTAGTATTGTCTGTTTCTTGCATATGTTTACAGAAATGGACAATGTGTGTGTCAGCAAGCACAGATCTTATTTCTGTCTTTGAAGTTTAATCTCGAAATGATAGAAATGAAAAGGGCACTGTAGCTCATCAAGTTGCCAAGTAAAAGCACTGTTAATTTATTATTTTGTGAGAAAGAAAGAAAGCATAAAAGTGATATTTCCTTTTTCCTTTGTGGCATAGGTAATCTCATGTTTGCAAGGACACCATACACTTTTGTGGGTATTAAGTGATGCAAAACAATGACTTCATCTACAATGCCCTAGAACTCACTGTGAGCCTCCACCTAAAGCTCCCATGGATTTTTATGCTGTAGGTAGTGTAAAGCTGTGTGTATAAGCAAGCACTGTCTAAATAACAAATGCATTTGAACCTAGTGGCTCCTGCCTCTAATACCAGCACTGCTGAAGCTGAGACAGGGGAAGTGCCATTAGTTCAAGGGGTATATAGCATGACCATATCTCAAAAGCCAATAAACAAATATACCTAATGAACTAACATGGTCACAGTTTGGCCTAACAAACTGACATGGTCACAGTTTGATACAGAGGATTTGTGTCATAGGACAATGTTTTAATAGCTTCACTTAAGATATAATGGTGCCATCAATCATAGAATGCATATATAACTAGAAACACCTCTAACCTCAACATTTTTAAGCTCTTCTATATACAAAATAGCTAATGCATTCTCAAGTTTTCATTCTGATAATGTGAATTTAGATAAAAAAAAACACTTTAGAATCTATCAACTTACTAACTTTTTAGTTGAACAGTATCAAGTCACCATGTTTGTTAACATAAACTATTGAATATTTGAAATATCATGTGGTTCAATTTTGTTTTTATATCCCTTCAAATTAGTTTATCTTTTAATTATTTGTTTTCTGTACATCCCAGTCACTACTTCCCCTCCTTCCATTCCTCCAACCACCCCCAAACTCCCTCCCCCCCCCCATCCACTGCTCCTCCATTTCCCTTTAGAAAAAAGCAGGCCTCCCAGGAATTATCCACTACTCTCAGCACAATAAGACCAGAGAAGGCTAGGCACAAACCCTAATGTCAACCCAGTAGGAGAAAAGAGTCTGAAGAATGGACAAAAGAGTCAGATACACTCACACTCCCATTATTAGGGTCCCACAAAAATACCAAGCTAATAACTGTAAAATATATGCAGAGGATTTATCACAGATGTACACAGGCTTCATGATGCCCCTTCAGACTCTGAGAGCCCTGCTTAGTTGAAGTCTGTATGTCATATTCTCCTAGACCCCTCTGCCTCCTACATTTCTTTCTCCCCCTCTTCCAAGGGTTCCCTGAGATCCAAGGGGAAGGACCCAATGGAGATCTTCAACTTGGACTCATTCTCTGCCTGATGCATGGCTGTGGTTCTCTGCCTCCTCTCCCATCAGCTGTCTGTGATACAAGAAACTGTTCTTTAAGTTACTTGCAATAATGCTCACTTTCCTACAAAAGTGATGTCACCAACCTAGCCCCAAGGAATCTATGAAATGCCTGAGTTTTAAAGTGGTACCAGGTGTACCTGGGAGCCACACAGAGAAGAAAAGCATCCTGCTTCTATTGTGATAAATCTTTCCACCAAAAGCCACCGAGCCCCAGCGCCATGTGTGTGCTTTATGCCAGCTGCCCACCCGAGTTAGGGCCCCAAATAGCACCCAGAGACTTCTATTACGTACAAATGCTGCTTGGCCAATGACTAGGATTTCTCATCTGCTAGCTCAATCTTAATTATCATTAAGCAGACACCTTCCATTGGCGTCCTCCCTTGCCAGTGGATCACATTGGGAATCTGGAGGAAGAGAGGAGGGGAAAAGGGAACACTTCCTGCTTGTCCTTCCTTAAATATCTCCCTGCTATGTCACTTCCTGCCTGGATCACCACTTCTTTACTACATTTCCCAGAATCCTCTTTGACTCCTAATCCCATCTAACTTGCTGCCTCATTGGCCAAACAGTACTTTATTCAACAATCAATAAGATGAACATACACAGAAGTACATTCCCCATCATGCTTCCTTCTGGGTGACAACAGCAGCAGATCCTGAAGCAGGTTGGAAGAGCATTGTCCCTTTTTTCTTCTGTGCTTCACCCATCCACCCATTTTCCTCACACCCTCTCCCATTCACCCATTTTTTTCCTCATTCTGGCCTTAGTTGTTTTTTTTTTTTCATCTCACTTATTTTGTCTATTATTCCACATTTCTAAGTATCAATGTAACTTTAGTGTGTTACAAGTGAGAACTGAAGAAAATAACTTGTTAAATTAACCTATGCTTATATGTGGAAACCTGACCACTTTTCTAAGATATCTAAGATTGAAAGGCCACTTGATTATTTCAATGAAACATTCCTGTAACAACTACTTAGCG